CACCAATAGCAATCATCAGGAAATCAAATGGTTTCAACAGGAAATCAAAAGGCTGGATGGCTTGCGCCATCAATTCTGAGCGCACACCCATCCTACCCCCCACGGGAGCGTAAAAAACATTGTGCCATCTATTTTTCCAGACTTGGGAGGACTTGGGAGGGCGAAATCATCAATCTCAAAAAACATTGTGCCATCTACCCCCCCCTGAAATGGGGCTGAAAAAGTGTCCGACGGTGCCATCTACTCGCCCTCCCGTTCTTTCCGAATTGCGCCAGTTACTTTGACCCCGGTGTAAATGATATAAAGACGTTAACATTAAAAATCATTAACAAATCAATTGGACATTGGAATAGACAAAATTACAAGTTTTCATGCAAAACAAATGAAATAGAATTAAATGAGAAATAGATCGGAATTAAATTGGAATTAAATGAATAATATTAAATCAAAATCCATTATTCAAATTGAAATTGACCTAGACCTAAGGTAGAATTAAAATAAAAATATTTAACCTAGGAATTAATTAATAGAATAATATTGCAATATTGATATAAAATTAGGTTACAAAAATTTAAATTTAATGAAAATTGTACATTCAATTTGAATTCAAATAAATAGAATGCAAATATTTTCAGTTTAAAATTAAATTGGAAATATATTACAAACTCACATATAAATTCAATTTGGAATTTAATATTAGATCCAGAATAATCAAAGATAATTACAATTACAACAAAATAGATTAGAATAAAATTGAATTCTAATTTGATTGTAATGAGTTTTAACAATACATAAATTTAACTTAGAATCTAATTAGGTTCAATTTAGAATGAAAATAGAAATCTATTACATATTCAAAACAAATTCAATTTAAAATTCATTTAGATCAATTTTTATTATCAATAAAAATAGAAATGAAACACATTCAATTAGAATAGATATTTATTTAGAATTTATTTAAATTGTATTTAAGTCAAAATTCATAGATTTAAATTAGAATTGAATTAATAATTTTTTAGAAATGAATAAGAAATAGTGTTTATGTCTTTTTTTAGCAGACCAGCCCCAAAAAAATCAGACCCATGGAGAGGGACCCAATAGAGATTGGACAGGAGACATAGGTCCAACAAGTTCAGAGTCATGGAGGGGGACACAGGAGAGGCTAGACAGGAGACACGGATCTGATTTTTATGTTTTTTGGTTTTTGTAATTTTTTTGGTAGACCAACGAAAATACAAAAAATCAGACCCATGGAGAGGGACCCAGGAAAGGCTAAACAGGAGACAACCAAAACTGCAGACCACATGTCCACAGAGTCAGACAAAAGCCCCAATGAAAAAAGAACAAAAAACGCAAAAATTGCAGACCACATGTCCACAGAGTCAGACAAGAGCCCCAATGGAGTCTGCAATATTGTTTTTTGATTTTCAAGGTTTTTGCATGGTCTGCTCCAAATGATCAGAACCTCGAAAATCCAAAAAACAAAAAAAATCAAAACAATGGGGTCTACAGTTTTGTTTTTTGTTTTTTTGATTTTCAAGGTTTTTGCATGGTCTGCTCCAGATGGCCAGAACCTCGAAAATCCAAAAAAACAAAATTGCAGACCACATGTCCACAGAGTCAGACAAGAGCCCCCCCCCCAAAAAAAAACAGAACGGGTGCTCCTGGGAGATGTTTTTCATGCAAAAAATGATACAACAACACTGTGTTTTGCAGTGATTTCTTGCAAAATCCTGTCCAAAATTGAGGTTTTGAGCTATATTTTGATCAATTTTGTGAGATCCAAGCCTATCCCAATTTAGAGGGAATACCAAAAAACCAAAAAACCAATAAACCAAAAAACCAAAAAAACAATGTTTGACACAAAATGCAGCCAACATCCAAAAACCAATAGTGCCCCCATTTTGTCTCAAACATTGTTTTTTTTTGTTTTTTTGGTTTATTGTTTTTTTGGTATTCCCTCTAAATTGGGATAGGTTTGGATCTCACAAAATTGCTCAAAAAATAGCTCAAAACCTTAATTTTGGAGAGGATTTTGCAAGAAATCACTGTAAAACACAGTGTTTTTGCTTCATTTAAGTTTAACGGTGCAATTTAATGTTAAATTGGATTTCAATTGATTTTGGTATTAGACTTCAATTAAACGCTGTCAGAATTATTGGTGGAAGTTGATTTATCATTAGCTTTCTATTAAAAATGTGTTTACGATTAATTGTAGATTTTTTACAAACTAAGTTTCATTTATATCATTGTCAAAATCATTGGTGAAATTGATGTTCATATTAGATTTCAATTAACATTTCTTCAAGATTAATCATAGAAAAATGAATGTGTAATTCAACTTCGATTAAATGCCTTTTCAAGATCATTGTGGCAATTGATTTTGAATTAGATTTCAATTAAAATCCTATTATATTTTATTCTAGAAATTAGGCATTACTTAAATGTCAATTAATGTCCTTTTCAAAATCATTGTGGACATTGCTTGTTGTTTAGATTTTAATTTAAGTTCTTTTCAACATAATTTGATTGATTTGCTTGTGTATTGGATATCAATCAAGACCCTTTTAGAATTGATTGTGAAAATTAACTTTCAGTTAATAGTTAATGGTGGAAATCAATTCTTATAATTAGATGTTAGTTAAAGTCCTTTTATTTGATGTAGCCTTGTAGTGGGGAGCAAACAGATACAAAATCAATTCAAGTTAGCTAAGCATCACTTTCCACAGTTAATCGTAAATCGACTTTAAACACAATCTAATATTAAATCAAAGCCACCACTAACTTTGAAAAGGACTTTGACTAAAATCTAATTGTAAGAACTAGTTTCCACAATGAGTTTTAAAGAGAACTTGGAAATGATTTTTCTTGCAATCTAATATCTAATAAATAGCAAATTGCACAATCAATGTTAAAAGGATCGTGATTGAAATCTTCTAATTTGAGTTTGCCTAATTCTATTTTAATTCCAATTTAGTTAGTTTAAGAACACACATGTCACAAAACCCTATATTTTACAGTGTTTTTTGCCCTAGGAGTGCTGGGAATAAGATACAAACTATGTTTTTGAGTAGATAGTATTTGTCTAAAGTAATCCCTTGGAATATTCATTGCTATATTAAAACTGCTTTATGTACAAACTTCTAATTCAAAAGGTTACCTCTAGATCTGATCACTTCTGTGAAAAAATATGCAGTAAAGCTTTCATTTCGAAAGCTTTCCTCTGGATCTCTGGATATAGTCATGGTACTTTAAAAAGCTATAAGTATGTATGTAAGTGTTTCTTTCATATGCTTTCCTTCAATGAAAATACCCAAATCTAGGAAATCTACTTTCCCAGAGATCCAGAGGAAAGCTATTGAATCTAGAGATGTATAGTATTATATCTTCATTCGCTCATGATGCTACATTCATTGTGGGCAGAGAGAGATTTACCTAATAATATTTATCATTGGTGTTGCACATTGATAGTGGGCAGACGAAGAGCTGTTATTTGTTGTCATTGACATTGGACAAAACAGATCCAAAAAATTGCGTTTCGCCTAGTTCTCAGAGCAGTTTTTGAAATTTGCACGGTATTTACAGTGTTTTCTAAGGGTTTTGAGCTAGTGTGTGTTCTCCCAAACACACACACACTTAAAAAAAAAAACACCAAAATTGCAGACCACATGCCCACAGAGTCCGACAAAAGCCCCAATAGGGTCTACAATTTTTTTTTTGATTTTCAATTTTTTTTACATAGTCTACGCCAGATAGCCAGAACCTCGAAAATGCAAAAAACTACATATCCTTAAAAACCTCGCACAATCAAAACTTTCACGTCTCCCCCCGTTCTCCAGAATATTCCAGAATACATATTTACTCAATTATTCAGAATCGCTCATAATATCTATACAACAATTATACCAAATAATTCATTCATCTGCCGGCGAACGTGTCGTCTCGCCCGTATTAAGCCGCACACGAACATAGATGCTTCAATAAGCATCATTAGCCAAATAAGAAAATCAAACATAAATCAATCCAATCCTACCAATTATCAATTCAAAATAATACAATTTAAAAACAATTAGAAAATCTCAAACTAAAAATCTACATTTTCATTCATTCATTCATCTGCCGGCGAGAGTCTCTGCTCGCCCGTGTTGGGCCGCATGCGAACATGGATGCTTCAAGGAGCATCATTGGCCATCGAGATGCGAGAATGCTTAGTCGAAGTGAGAAGAAATGAGCTTAGCCAGTGTGGCTTGCTGGATCGAATGCAAGTTCGGCAACGGAATGCGGAACTCCTGGCAGGTCTGGGACCATGGAGCCAGCC